AATGTTGCAGTGGATGCGGATTGATAAGATGCTCACTTTATATCATATAATCATCAAGTGTTGTGAGTAATGTTGGCGTGTGTGTTTCTGAGTGTGTGTCTGAGTGTGTGTGTGTGTGCTGTGGGGAGGTGTTCCTGTGGCTCTGATTGACGTCAGCAAGCCTGTATGTGGCTTCTGTTGACTTCCTGTCAAAGCAGATGGACTGAGTTTTCACTTCCTTCTTCAGAACCGCAGTTCATCAGGTGCTCTGAGTTAGTGTGTGTGTGTCATAAGCGAGCTGCATAACGTGCATTGTGACCTTTCTTTGTATGGGTGTCGCAAAATTACTGGTGCGTATTACGTTCTAAGTTCAGTCTTTTGAGAGTCACAAAGTTTAAGAATCACTGAGTGGAGTTGACAGTTTCATTTATGGAAACATTTATTTACACTCGCGGCCCACATGCATGTCTCTATTCTTCACAAACGGCACAAACAGCACTACGCTGGGCCACCTTAACAGGCTGCACAACAAATTCAAGCATAACTAACCTTCTTTAAATTGAATCGTTGATCTGTTTACATATTTAGAACCACACGCAGATGCTCAGAGAAACAGAAGTTATAAAAAGCAGTACGTCTTTGATGGTTTAATGTATAAAGCAGGAGAGGTGTTTTAGTGAGGAGCAGAAGTCTGAATGAACTTTCAGAACGTCCTCGACACATTTCCATTTGCTTTGTAACTTTTCATGTGAGATCATGCTTTTAAGCTAGCCTCACGAGCTGATGAATGACCTCGTTTTACTTCCAAAGAGACCCATGAGGGGTATTTCCCAAAGTCTGACTTGACCCTTGCATTCTAAAGTCCTCCGCAGTCATGCTGCCAGCACTGCTGCAGATGACCAAATACCTCACTGGAGTCTGATGTTACTGCTAAAGCTTGTCGGCATTGTCGATGGTTAACCTTCTAATTACCAAACTACGTGACTTCGTTTTGCTCATAGGTGTAAGAGTATGTCAGTAGTGTGGGAAACTTTCATGTTTTCAATCAAGCGATCATGAGATAAGTAAGGAAACCTTTAAAATGCATCAACGCACTTTAAAACTTTTAATCAAGCATTTCAGTGTCGTCACTTCGTGTAGTAAACTTGTTATAAGTCATCGCCTGCCCACCGCAGAATCACTTCTGAACTCAGTCCCACCTTTTTCTCATGACTCTCTAGGCCACGTCCTCACTACACACTACCTGTGTTCACATATGCAACCGCATCTCTCTCTCCCACCATCACCATCTTTTATTCATTGCCATTATTTTGAGGAGGTGTGGGGGGGTTGAGGGGGCAGGAAACGTGAGGCAGGAAGCGAAGATCAGATTGTTCCTGTTTTGCTGTCTCTAAACTCTTGAAACTTGACGGAAGCCAGGAGGAACTGTGTGTGTGTGTGTGTGTGTGTGTGTGTCAGCCCACTGCAGAAAAATAGGATACGAAGAGACAAAGGCCTATTGTCTGTGCCCACACACTGCACAAACATGCACATGCTGACACAATGATATAATACGTAAATACCTACAGTAGCGCAAACCGCGTCGCTCTCAGGTGCCGAATCCATTTCACCTTCTCTGAGGACACGAGTTGAGTCTCTAAAAGAGAAAAATAATATTAAAAATGGAAGAAGCATGTTTTGAATAGAATTCCTGAAAGAAGTCAAACAGATGTTAACAGCTGCTCTCAATTTTAATAACACGTGTTCTCTGCTGACAATAACACGAAAGGCAAATGAAAAAAATCTGAAAATCATCTTCAAAAAAGTAACAATAAACTCAATGACCTAGTACTCACCTGTTCTCAGCTGCATTTAAATAAAGCACCAAATCCGCACTTAAGCTTAAATTTCAAAACTTACATTTTAACTACTGATTTTATCTGTTTTGATTTTATATACTGTTTTGTTTGTTTGTTTG